AATATTTATTTCAGTGAGCGTAAGTTGGTTACATAAAGTTAATGTAATTTTGTTTAGTTCAATCAATGTAACAATCATGATTTTATATTAATCTATTTAGTTAATTAAGTTCAACTACTCTAAAATTAATAATGTTATGTTAAGAAATGAGATCAGAAAAGACGTTGCAGTTTTATTGTTTATTAAATAATATTTGTACAATGTTTTACAAAGAATAAGTTCCTCGAGTTCCTTCAAGTTCATCGGTGTCCACATCGCCGAGGACCTCACATGGGATATACACACAGACGCAGTGCTGAAGGCACAGCAGAGCCTCTTCTTCCTCAGGCGTCTGAGGAAATTTGGAATGAGCCCCCAAATACTCCGCTCCTTCTACACCTGCACTGTGGAGAATATTCTGACCGGCTGTATTACTGTCTGGTATGCAAACAACACCAGCAGTAACAAAAAAGATCTCCAGAGGGTTGTGCGAGCTGGCCAGCGTGTTGTAGGAGGTGAGCTTCCCGCCCTCCAGGATATCTACAACAGACGCAGCAAGAGGAAAGCACTGAGAATCATCGGTGACATCAGCCATCCGAGTCACAGACTGTACTCTGTGTTGCCCTCGGGCAGACGCTACCGCAGCATCCGGGCACGCACAAGCCGTCTACGAGACAGCTTTTTCCCCCAGACTGTCAGGCTGCTGAACACACAGAACTGACATTACATTTCATTGCACTCAATTTCGAACATTACACTGCAACAAACTGGACATTCATGCAGCATGCACCCGGACTTTAAATTATTTTAAACTATTCTAATTTCAGCAGCTGAAATCTGTTTTACTTAAACAGCCATCAATCCATTACATCTATAACAACCAACCTGCAACTCAGCATATTTAAATTTACATTTATTGTTTAACGTATATATTGTTTCATGTCTCATCTGTATTTGTATGTTGTACTGTAAGTCTGCACTGACTGGAGCTTGCACCTAAGCTTTTCACTCACCACAGCTCACACGCTGCTGGTGATGGGACAATAAAAGTGATTTGATTTAGTTACAGTGCCTATGAAAGCAGTTTATTTTTTAAAACCTGTACTTTGTTTGACAGCTTGTTGGCATCAAGTTCCATGAAAATCTTTTGAAACATTTCAAAAGTATATTTCAGATCCTGAGGGTAAGCCATGTTTAATGCATAAATTAGACCAAGCATCATGGAACAAGCATTAAGTACACTGTCCAGGTTTTCCAGTACTTGGATGCCTTCAATGATGACACCAACATCTTCATATGGGTCTGTAATTTCTGCCCCTTCATGCTTGATGGCATAGATTCCGCGAGTGGTTTTGCTCATCAAAATGTTGGCTTCTTCGCGTTCTGTGTCCTAAACATAACAAAAGACAAGAACAAATATTAAGTACAAAATAAAACATTTACCGTATTTTTCGGCTCATAAGACGCACTTTTTCTTCCCCAAAACTGCGGGGGAAAAGTTGGTGCGTCTTATCGAGCGAATGCAGAGCGCCGCGAAGTCCGGTCACGGCCGTATGAGAGGCGTAAGAGCTCCGGAGCTAGGCCGAAGCCGCGGCCATATTTGTATACCCGGCGCTGCGCGCTGACGTCATCGCCCATCTCTGCCATAGCGCAGTCGTAACGAAAACGGGGGAAAAAACTACATTTCCCACAAGGCCTTTTGGCTTCCGCATCCATACTCACGAGCGAAATACAGACCTCAGCTGCGGTTTCTCACACATTGAACGTAGTAGTCTCGCATTTGAGTGATCTCTTACGCTACAAACCCGATTTCTCACGCTAAAATACATTTCAAGATGTGAAATGGGCACGGCTAATATTTTATCTGCGATCTGTTTCTTGAGCCTGATGTGACGCTTGTGCCGGATAGCCAGTGGAAAAAGAAGGAGCTTCAAGACGAGCACATCATCCCAGACTCAAACCTTTATTTTTAGCCTCCTTCAGCGTCACAAAATGAAAGTAAACAATATACAACAGGGTAGCGGTCCCAGGGGAAGAGCAGCGCACACACTCGTCTCTCCCTCTCCTCGCACACACTTTGGGGCGCAGCTCTTAAAGGGCAACATACATACAAATACAATGTGGTACATAGACCTAGCAGTGGATGTTCCACTTACAGAATGCCCAGATTCTTTTAAAGGTTTAAAGTAGGGCTCGATTAAAGAACCACTGTATTATTACTAATGTGGGGGCAATCTTACTAGCTATTATTAGTAATGTAGTGACAATGTTACTAGCTATTATTAGTAATGTAGTGACAATGTTACTGGCTATTACGGTATTACTAATGTGGGGGCAATGTTGCACTGGAACAGTGATGGTGATAACGAATGGTGGACTTTAGAGTGATGAGTGGGGGCAAAGAAAAACATTACAGCCTTTTTTGTGTTACTTTTACTGTTCACTGTCTGTTCATGTTACATGTTTGGCTGTTAACTTTTACACAGTTGATATAAATATTTTACAAAAATGTTTGGTTCAGAATCTTTTTTTTCTAGATCTTCCTCTTTTAAAATTGGGTGCGTCTTATGTGCCGGTGCGTCTTATGAGCCGGAAAATACGGTACCAATAGATCAAGGGTAAAAACAAAAATTGGTTTTAAAGAGAATTATAAGTTTCTTAAAAAAAAAAAAAAAAAAAGTAAATAGCTTACCATGTACTTCTTCACCAGGTTTGAAGGATCTTCATTTAGGTAGACCACTAAGGCTTTCAGGATCCATTCACGGTTTTTTCAATGGTGATGCCCTAATCATAATGAAATGAGAATTAGTACTTTTTAAGTAGCATTACGCAAATTATCCCTGGATTTTATGAAAGTCTTGTATTCCCAATTTAAAAGCGCTGCATGGGATACACAATTATCTTGAACATCTGAGCTGTTCTAAGTGCAGTTGCAAAAATAACTTAAAAGTATAACAGAGACGGAAAGCGATGCTTAAAAAGAGAAAAAAAGTATGATATTTGGAGCTTTAGAATTCACCTTTAACTTTTAATCCATAATTTTAGTACAAAAAAAGATT